TTCTCTTGGTCCTCTGGTGCTATGGCTATTTGATTATACCCCGAATAGCCATCTAGGAAGCAATAGTACTCATGCCCGGCTAGTCTGTCCAACATTTGATCAATGAATGGCAAGGGGAAGTGGTCCTTCCAAGTGGCTTTGTTCAATTTTCGATAATACATGAAAATTCTCCACCCGGTAACTATTCTTGTAGGGATCAACTCATTGTTAGCATTTTTCACCACTGTCACTCCTCCCTTTTTTGGTACTACTTGCACAGGACTGATCCATGAGCTATCAGAAATTGGGTAAGTCACTCCGGCATCTGACCATTTTAAGACCTCTTTACGCACCACTTCCTTCATTGTCGGATTGAGTCTTCTTTGATGCTCCACCATTGGCTTGCAATCTTCCTCCAACAAAATTCGATGCATACAAATAGAAGGGCTAATTCTCTTGATATCTGCAAGTGTCCGTCCAATAGCTGCCTTATGTTCTCTAAGCACTCTTAACAACTTTTCCTCTTCTTCAATCAAAACCTTGGATAAAATAATTACCGAAAGAGTAGATGATTCACCAAGATACGCATATTGAAGATGTTCGGGTAAGGGCTTAAGCTCCAATGCAGGTGGTTTCTCAATAGATGGAAGGGGCCGTGATGTTCCATGTCCCAAATCTTCAAAATATTTTATGCGGTTAGGACCAAAAGAATCCATCCACAAATCATATTCTAACACTTCTGGATCCTCCATCATAGTCGGATTGGGATTAACCAAACAAACTTCCAACGACTCCTTTTGTTGGTTAAATACTTCAGTGACCAAGGAGTCGATTGCTCAGATGCTGAAATAACTCTCACTTGTATCCAGATACTTGATGGCATCAAAAACATTAAAGGTTACCTCTCCTCTTGTACTCTCAACCGCAATTCTCCCCTTTGAACATCAATTAGAGCTCAGCCAATAGCTAAGAATGGTCTGCCAAGAATGATAGGAATTTTCCTATCCTCCTCCATGTCTAGAACGAGGAAGTCGGCTGGAAGAATAAACTTGTCCACCTTAGCACATCCTCAATAATTCCCCTTGGGTGTTTTATTGAGCGATCCGCTAATTGCAATGATACTGTAGTAGGTCTCGCCTTACCTAGTCCAAGTTTCCTAAAAATAGACAAAGGCATAAGATTAATACTTGCACATAAGTTACATAAAGCTCTTTCAAGCATAGAATTTCCAATTGAACAAGGGATAGTAAAACTCCCTGGATCCTTGAGCTTTGGAGGCAATTTCTTTTGTAGAATTGCACTGCACTCTTCAGTAAGGGCTATTGTCTCATATTCTTCCAATCTCCTCTTATTTGACAAGATGTCCTTCATAAATTTCACATAGCTTGGCATTTGTTTGAGAGCTTCTGCAAAAGGAATGTTAATATGCAATTTTTTAAACACATCTAAAAATTTAGAAAATTGCTTATCAAGCTTATTCTTTTTGAGTCATTGAGGGAATGGAACTTTTGGTGCTAGATCCTGTGATGGGATTGGTTGATTGTTAGAAATCTCCTCGCTAAGCGTTGGTGTGTGGAGTTGCATCTCTTGATCTTCTTTTTCAAACTTTTCACCAGTAGTTGGATCTTCTAACTCTTTTCCATTTCTCAAAGTGATCGCCTTGCACTGTTCCTTTGGATTCACTTCAGTCGTGCTAGGCAAGTTTCCTTGTTGTCTCCCAGTTAGCATATTAGCCAATTGACTGACCTGGACTTCTAAATTCTGTATCGAAGCCACTTGATTCTAAAAATTGGTCTTAGTCTCTGTTATGAATCTATTGGTGTTAGTTGCTAATTGTGCTATTGCTTCTTCAAGTGCGGACTTCTCTTTCGACGGATCACTAGATGACGGACCAGGTGGAGGTTTCAATGCATTCTGATTATTCCATGAAAAATTAGGGTGATTTTCCATCCAAGGTTGTATGTTGCACTATATGGATTGTTTTGCCGATTGTAATTTGCAAAAAAGTGTGCTTGCTCTGCTTGGGATTAAAAGAAGGGATTTCCCACTTGACATTCTTCACTCGGATGGTTTCCATGACAAAAATCACAAGCTGGTGGTGTCAAGTGAATGGC